TTTTGGGCCCCACACTACAAGAAGGATGTGGAAAAATTGGAAAGAGTCCAGTGGAGGGCAACAAAAATGATTAGGGGTCTGGAGCGCATGACTTATGAGGAGAGGCTGAGGGAACTGGGATTGTTTAGTCTCCAGAAGAGAAGAATGAGGGGGGATTTGATAGCAGCCTTCAACTACCTGAAGGGGAGTTCCAAAGAGGATGGAACTTGGCTGTTCTCAATGGTGGCAGATGACAGAACAAGGAGCAATGGTCTCAAGTTGCAGTGGGGGAGGTCTAGGTTGGATATTAGGAAACACTATTTCACTAGGAGGGTGGTGAAGCACTGGAATGCGTTACCTAGGGAGGTGGTGGAGTCTCCTTCCTTGGAGGTTTTTAAGGCCTGGCTTGACAAAGCCCTGGCTGGGATGATTTAGTTGGGAATTGGTCCTGCTTTGAGCAGGGGGTTGGACTAGATGACCTCCTGAGGTCCCTTCCAACCCTGATATTCTATGATTCTATGAATTAGGGTGTCAACACTATTATGTCAGGCTGTCTTTCAGCAGACTGTCACGTGGTCCTATATCTGGTCAATCAGGTGACTTTCTTTACAATTCTAGACTAGATACTTAAACTTAACAATGAAATAATTTCAATAGAAACTCTTACAGCCACTAGAGAGGTGCTGGATGGAATGGTAACTGAGGTCAGAGATAAAATACAATTTGTTATGGTGGCACAGTTTCTCAACCATAATCCAGGTTGCTCTAGAGTTTCCATTCTAACAGGGTTAATAAAGTTCTCTATAAACTGTATATTTTGAGTTTGAGGATTAATTTGAAAATCTTATTGTAGTTTATGAGGTACTTGAATTAACAATAGCTGAGCCGCTAAGTAATAGTAACCATAAAGAAGTGAAATTTACATGTCACTGACTAGGGAGAAGAAAGATAAGTTTGAAAAGGGAGATTTCAATAAAATAAGGAATCTAGTCAAAAAGGCCATGGAGTCAAAAGTAAAGAAAACAAATGCCTTAGATTTGGCACGGATGCTTGCTATATAAGGAAACAATAGTCTGAGAATACATGCATGCCTCTGAACAAAAAAGCAAGAAGTAAACCAGTATGGGTAAATTGCAGTGTTCAAGTAAATTATACAAACTCAGCCAAAATCTTTCAGAATTTGGAAATCTAATTGTAGTGAAACTAATAAAAAGGAGTATAAACTAGCAGGCAATGTTGAAGACAGAAATTAGGAGGTCTAAGGTGAAATTTGAAGAGCTAAAGGTATAGAAACAAGAAATTCTTTAAATATGATCACCAGAAAGCCTGGAAAAAATTGAGTCTGCTGGATCACCAGGAATTAAATGGAGCAAATAATGAAGATAAACCAATTTCACAGAAATCATTTATTTAGCTTCTCAGCATCATTCTTCATGGCAGAGAAGATGAAGGAGATAGCTACTCTCTTTTGGTAATATAGATGAGGTAATATCAAAGATTGTTCCCACAAGAGGTGATGCTGGAACAAATTGTTAAATTAAAAGCTGTAAAAATCACCAGGCCCAGTTCGCACATCCAAATGTTCTGAAGGAACTTAGTGACTGAGCTGCTAACAAAAAACACTAAAAATGGCTACTATACTGGATTATTGGCAGGTAATGTTTAACTTGTCTTTAAAGCATCGAAGCTACTAAGTGTAAAACTTGGAACTTCACTGTTTCTAGTCTCACGTTTTAGAGAGAAGAACTTCACTTTAAGCAACAAAACATGACAAGATGTATATTGTGCTAGGGTATTACTGTACATTTCCAGTTTTAAGCAGAATGCTGCAGCCTTCCAAGAAATAGCAATTTATCAGTTGTCTTTTAATTATAAAATAGCCTTATGCTAACACTATTAGTGACTTAAAAAAAAAAGAATCACTCAATAAGTAATTTTTTCTGATTATTATATCAAAAAGACTAGTTCCCAATTAAAAAGGATTTAACTTCAGATTTTACATTAATTTTGTATTTAACTTTGCCGAGAAGCAAGCATGCTTCTCTTAAGGTTTCTCTGGAAAAGAAAGCTTTAGACCTTCTTAAATCTCTTTTCTCTTCTGCCCCCTTTTCTTTTTATAATCAAGCATGACAAATGTCATCCCAGAGAGGAATCTTTTCAGAATTATAAGTGCCTGAAAATAGGAGCTAGTAATGGAAGTCTTTCCTTGGTGTTGCTAGAAAATACAGTAAAAACGTAATATTGAAATAGTTTTTGTGCATTTAAGTTAATAGATAATTATAAACACTAAATTCCTAACTGTTGTTCTTAGCCTTTCATTCTGGGAAAAATATTTAATCAGATATGACTAATGTTATAATAATCTTTATAACCCATTATGTTGGTAGAGGAAGTTTGCCACGAGCCTCTTTTAAACCAATAAAATGTAATATAGTTATATATTTACTTTTGTTCCAGTTTACAGTAGAACATCAGTCAAATAAAATTGTTGTGGTCCCCTCCCAAAATAAATTTAAAGGCTTCTGATGACCATATGTGGAAAACTTGCTTCTCCTTTGTCACAGAGTTCACTTCAAAAAGCAGGTGTTCTTTGGCTCTCTCATGACTTTTTTTTTTTTTTTGACTTTTAGACTGTCAGTTTCTAAATGATAGCTGTTCTGATTTTCTTGATAGACTAAATTTTTCTTCTTAATTTACTTGTACTGCACCTAATTAATACTCTGATTGAACTAACTTAGTCACCTAACTGTTCAGAGTTAACACTGTTTATCTGTTTAACTAAGTGTGTGGTCCTGGGCAAAGGGCACATGTCTGTGAGACAAACTTGAATTTTACTCGCAGTTCTGCTGCTATGTTGACTTACTGAGTCACCTTGGACACGCTGATTTCCCCATGGTAAAATGAAGATGATATTTGACCAGCTTGGTAATATGTCTTTGAGATCTATGAATGGAAAGCTTTTGTTTTACTGCCTCAGTGTTTATGGCTTTAATTTTCATGTTTGATGTGGGGTTTGTCAAATCTCCAGGTGTTCACTGTTCCAGATCAAAGGTATACAATGAAAAGACCTTTTAAAGGCACTGTTTCTGTGAGTAAACCAGTCTCCTACAACCCTTTCCCACACACACCTGCCTTTCAGGATGTTGATCTTTCTACTGTGATCCCAGTCCACTGCCTTTATATAAACTGAATATTGGCAACCCCAGTTTAAAAAAAAAAATCATGAAATTGGCAGCAAAATTAATACATTTAAAAATTGATTTTGGTTTGCCTTGATTTTTGAACTCACACTGCCCATCCCCAGTGTATGTGACAATTAGTGTTGCCATTGCTCCCAAACATATTAAGGTGATTTTTGATCTCCATTGCAGGAGCTCTCACCCCCACATTTGCGTCTCCCCCAGTCCTCTATTAGTTCTGTCCCTTTCTCCCAACCTCCACCATCAGTTCTGCCCTCCTCCCAGACTCACCCTCTGCTCCTCTTGCAGTTCCTGGGGCTCTTCATCCCTGTCCCAGGGTTGTTGATTTTTTTTTTGGGGGGGGAGAAGACAGCAGTACAGAGATCTGCAGCAGGATCCCCTTCTTCCCCTTCCAGGCTGGAGGTGGGAGCAGCTCCAGGGGCTCTTTGCCTCTCTCACTCACCATTCCCAGCTCTAGTGTTGCAGGAAGGGAAAGGGAAGGAACAGAGAAGAACTGCCGTTACCATTGGAGGGAAGGAGGGTGCAGCCTGAGCTGTTGGGCTCTAACTGTTCTTAGTTTTCCTCCTATGAGAATTGTCAGCTCCTGGAGGGTGGGAGCGCTACCTGCTTCTTGCAGCAGCTCCGATTGGCTTCTCTTCCTCCAGAGGCGGGGCAATGGGGAAAGCAGCCATCTAAGGGGGTTTCCCCAAGACAGAAGTGAAATATGTGAGAGGGCTGGAGCTTTTTAGAATGATTGTGGCTCTGGACAAATTCACCTGAATTGCAAAGAAATTGGGAGAGCTGGCAACAGTGAAACTGAAAATAGTGCACTCCCCTGAGTTGCCCAGGTGGCAAGTCCCGAAGAGTATTCCTAGGTAGTTGCTGAACCTGGATGTTTGTTTTGTTGGCTGGATAAAAAGTCAGTTGATGATTGAGGTTGGGCTTGTGTTTGAAGCACTGAGAGAAACGTGTGGTACTCTAACACCAATATCCTGCTCTCATGTCTGCTTGTAAATAGAGAAGGAAGAAAAACTGTTAGGGTCTCTGAAGCACAAAGCTAACTGCTTTGCTTGTATACAATTATGAAGTGCTTAAAGTGTGTATGGGGGGGACTATAAAGATCTGGGAGCAACAGCTTGGGTAAGAGTGCTTAAAGTACATTCCCTTAGTGACAGTTCTGTGTTTGTTTATTTGTTTATTTAGCTGGGCCTGACCCCTTGCCCTCTCTGCCTTAAAGCACTGAATCCTGCTTCTTCCTTTTTGCTCCTCTGCTTGCATTGAGGGCCTGGCTGACTTCCTTGCAGAAGTGAGGAACTAGGTTGGCTGTGTAGCCCCGCCACTGGGGAAACTGGCAAGTGTTAGCCATACCACTGGAGGGCAGTCAGAGTCCCCTTTTACCGTCCAGCTTTATATCACGTCGGCTGTACTTACGGGGGGGGGGATAGTTGTGATTGGTTTAGCGAGCTGTCCATTTTACCTTTGGTACGCGGTAGAAGGCGTTGTCTACTCTGATTGGATAGAATTTCCCCAGTGAAGGAGAGTATATATCAGGGAGGGGCGGTGATAGTAGCAGAAGAACCAATCAGAACGGGGGAGAGATGACCCCCTCCGCGTGCGACCGGAGTTGTTGACTGCGACAGCCCGGTGCACGCGCAGAGAAAAGGGGAAGACGGGGTCTCAGAGTGCGCTTGCGTAGACTGGAGAGTGCGAGGACGGCGCCGTGAGCGGAGACGATGGGGTTAGTGTGCGCATGTGCTGGGCCGGCGGGGGAGGGGTGGGGAGAGGTCTGCCCGCGTGGGGCGGGGGGGGCGCTGTCTATGCGCGTGCGCGCGGTGGCGGGCCCGACTGGGCGCGCGGAGAGAGGCGGCGCTCCTGGGCGCTGTATTGTCCGGGCTCGGCCGTGGGGAGGTGGCTGTGGAGGGAAAGAGGAGCCCGCCAGAACCTGCGGCTCCCATGGAGAGCCCGGGCCCCCCGTGACGCGTCGCTCTCGGTCCCGTTCGGTCCCCGCATGGCGGCGGCCATGGCCCCAGCGCTCCCCGAGCCGCCCTCCGAGGTGCCCCCTGACCAGGAGGCAGCGGTGAGGGGCCGCCAGGCAGCGCTGTGGGGCCGGGCGCGCAGCCTGTGCCGGAGGCTGCGGGCGCTGCAGGCTCAGCAGGTGGAGCGGCACGTTCGGCAGCAGCTGGCCGGGCTGGTGCGGTACATGGGGCGGGCGGCTCCCGCCGGCCTCCCTCGCGTCCTGGGGCCTGACCTGCGGCAGCTGGCGGCCAGCGCCACCGCCCGGCTCCGGGCCGCCCAGGGGGCTTGTGACTCGGACGCCACCGAAAGTAGCAGCAGTAGTGGCGGCTCTAGCTGCGGTTCCGGGGGGGAGACTGATAGCGAAAGCCCGGAGGAGGAGCGACCCGTACCGACCCCTGCAGCGTGAGTAACGGGGGCTGCTTTGTCGCGGGTGGGGGCAGTTGCCGGACCGGGGCTACAAAGTTACCCGCCCTTCTCGCACCTGGGGCCGGAGGGAAGTGGCGGGGTCATCCCGGCGCGTGGGCTTCTTTCCCGCAGCTGCGGCGAGAGTTTTCCTGAGGTGGATTTAAAGTGCTGTGAGTCACTTGGCGCGTCCCTGCCGTACACGCTGCAAAACCCTTCCTGGTGAGAAGGAGATGCTGACACACCCGCAGCGACGTGAAAGCCGCCGCCGCCGCCTGAACTGCTCACAGCAAAGCCTAAACCCGCATCTCCTCCTCCGAGACGGGAATCTGCGTCGCCAACTTCTCCACGGCTTCCCGCCCCGCCCGCTATCAGTCAGACTTCTAACCTTGAGGTTACCGGCTCCTCCTTTAAACTCTGTCACCAGATGTGCGCATTCATACAACTCACCGCTTCCTTACTGATCCTGCTCTCAGAACGCAGATTCTGGCCACATTCTCTCACGTGGGTGAACACATAAATGCTTTGTCATCACGAGTTTTTTCCTTGAGTACCTGATCCATACTTTCAGATTTAAGTTTTCAAACGAACCCACTTCATGCTTCTTTTTGTAGAATTGCTTCAGTATTCTGTCTCGGCTGGGTTTTCTGAGTAGCATATATAATTTAATTTACTTAATCTGATCTTCCATTTTCAGGTAAAATAAAACATTGGGTGAAAAGAACACAAAGTATGAGTTTTCAGTAATAGAAAAGAGTATGGTTTTGTAGTAAATGCACTGAGTTGGAAGGAGATCTTGTTTCAGTTACTGGTTCTGCCATAGATTTCCTGTGTGAGATTTGGTGTCACTATTTGCCTCATTTATCTAATTTAAATGCAGATACTTCCTTATCTCATAAGGTTGTTGTGACATTCTTAAATACTATCCTGATAGGTCTTCTATCAAAACCTAGATAGAATCATAAGGACATTTTCTTGAGGCAAGGGACAATACGGTAACCAACATCTTAAGACCATCACATAGGGCTTTTGAATAATTTTTTAGGCCAAAACAATCTCTTCAGGTTGTAAATGTATGTGTTGTAAGTAATCTGAGAATTAGGACTAATGCTTTGTGGTGTTTGTATTGTAATGTATAGATGACTTTACAGGGGAGAACTGATTTGTTTAAAATGTAATTGAATTATTTTCCATAGTGCTAGTAGAATGCGTGTCTCTTCACAGACATTCAGGGTGAGGAGGTCCCTGCCTAAAGAAGTGTAATAGTTGGAAAAGATCAAAAACAGACCATGATTTGTGGGGTGAAAAGTACAAAAGGGGAGAAACAAACAAAGAGAACTTTCCTGTTTAAAAAAAAAAAAAAAAAAATTGACCCTTTCTGAAACTCACTGTTCCTGTTGAGCATGGAGATCTTGAAACACCACTATCCTTGTCAACAAACAACTTTCAGCATAGTGAAATTGGGATTTTTTTGGATGTATATTACGAATTAAAACCACCATGTTTTCATACTGTTAATTTAGTAATTCATTGGCTTTAATAGAGGCCATATGTGTGCTTTGAAAGTATTGCATATTTATTACAAGCTATTGTTTTGCTTTCTAGGGAGGAAGTGACTAGCAGACTGGACAGTTAAATAAATAGGTATATCTCCATATATTATATTAATTTTATCTTCTAGAACTGGAAGGGACCTTGAAAGGTCATTGAGTCCAGTCCCCTTGCCTTCACTAGCAGGACCAAGTACAGTCCCTGACAGTTGTTTTTCTCCCCCCCCCCCCCTCCTCCCCTGCCCCCTAAATGGATTGAACTCAACCCTAGGTTTAGCAGGCCAATGCTCAAACCACTGAGCTATCCCTCCCCCCAGTTGCTTAGTTTGGGATGTAGAACCTCTTACTTTTAGACATAAGATGCAAACAACAGTTGTAGGATGCATTTAGAGCATTCAGCACAGTTTCAATATTACGTAATCTATCCTGTGAAGCAGTGACTCTGGAAAAAAAGTGTCATGGTGGATAATCAACTAAACATGAGTTCCCAGTGCAGTGCTTTAGCCAAAAGGGCTAATGCAGTCCTTGAGTGCATAAACGGGAATTTCGAGTAGGAATAGAAGGGTTATCTTTCTTCGGTGTCCACATTTCAGAAAGGATGTTGATAAATGGGAGAGGGTTCAGAGAAGAGCCATGAGAATGATTAAAGGATTAGAAAATCTGCCTTACAGTGACAGACTCAAGGAGCTCAGTTTCTTTAGCTTAACAAAAAAGGTGAAGGGGTGACTTGGTTACATTCTGTAAGTATCTCCATGGGGAACAAATATGAAATAAGGGTCTTTTCAATCTATCAGAGAAAGGTATAACCCCAATTCTGTGGCTGGAAGTTGAAGCCAGACAAATTCAGATTGGAAATAAGGCAGAAATTTATGAGGGAGTATAAGTAACCATTGTTACAATTTACCAAGGTGTGTGGTGGATTCTCTCACTGACAATTTTAAAATCAAGATTGGATATTGTCCTGAAAGAGATTTTAGGAATATTCTAGGAATTATTTTGGAAGCATTCTGTGGCCTGTGTTATACAGGAGGTCAGAGTAGATTGGAGTGGGCAAACTACGGCCTGGGGGCTGCATCCAGCCCTCCAGACATTTTAATCTGGCCCTCGAGCTCCCACGGGGCTGGGGGCTTGCCGCACAGCTCCCAGAAGCAGTGACATGTCCCCCCTCTGGCTCCTACCCCTAGGGGCAGCCACGGGGTTCTGCATGCTGCCCCTGTCCCAAGCGTCACCCCCGCAGCTCCCATTGGCCGGGAACCGTGACCAATGGAAGCTGGAGGAGCGGCGCCTGTGGACAGGGCAGCACACAGAGCCGCCTGGCCGTGCCTCCATGTTGGAGCCGGGGGGGCATGTCACTGCTTCTGGGAACCACTTGAGGTAGGCGCCACCAGGAGCCTGCATCCCTGACCTCGCCTGCACCCTGACCCCCTGCCACAACCCTGATTCCCCCTCCCACTCTCCAAACCCCTCAGTCCCAGCCCAGAGCACCCTCCTGCACCCCAACCCCTCATCCCCAGCCTCACCCCAGAGCCCTCACCCCCTGCACCCCAACCACCTGCCCCAGCCCAGAGCCCCCTCCCACACCCTGAATTCCTCATTTCTGGCCCTATCCCAGAGCCCGCACCCTCATCCGGATCCCTCATCCCCAACCACCAATTTCGTGAGCATTCATGGCCTGCCATGCAATTTCAATACCCAGATGTGGCTGTTGGGCCAAAAAGTTTGCCCACCCCTGAACTAGATGATCACAGTGGTCCCTTCTGACTTCGGAATCTGTGAATCTGTAATGATGGTATTGATCATTTACTGATAAGAGCACAAAATTTGGAGAATGGTAATCTTGGTTCTGTTCCTATCACTGACACACTTGGACTATAGCAGAGTAACTTAATGTATGTGTCAGTTTCCCCCTGTCAGTTAGGGTTACTGATCTGTTAATTAGGGGTTACTGTGTTTTAGGGCTGTAATTAACCTTTAAGTACTTTGAGATGATTGGAAGAAAGGGCTCTTTTTAACAGCAGATTTTTATGGTGCACATAATCCTACAGATTAGGCTGCATCATCCAGCTCTTGAATGATCCTCTTCCTGATGTTTATTTTCTAGTTATCTAGTGAGGTGAGTATTCTATTCCCCCCCCTGTGGTAACTTATTAGCTAGAAGTGGATGGAAGGGACTCATTGTTGAGAGGCAGCATCCTTCTAGAAAGCAATCTCCACCCTCATGCCACATAGAGGATGCTAAGATTCTTACTAAGGTGCTGCCCCTCTTCCTGCTCAGGAGTTTCATCTTCGTTATAAGCCTCTGATTAGTAGGTGTCTGATAACATTCATTGTCGTGATTCTACGTAGCACAGGGGTGGGCAAACTACGGCCCGCGGGCTGGATCCGGCCTGCGAGGTCCTGCTGGGGAGCAGGATCTGGGGCTTGCCCCGCTCCGGTGCTCCAGTTGGGAAGCAGGGTTGGAGGACTCAACGTGCGGCTCCCGGAAGCTGTGGCGTGGCCCTGCTCCAGCCGAGGCGAAGGGTTGGGGGACGCACCACACGGCTTCGGGAAGCCACGGCATGGCCCCACTCCGGCACTCCAGCCAGGGTGCAGGGTCGGGCTGTTCCACGCGGCTCCCAGAAGCCGAAGGATGGCTCTGCTCCGGCCCCTACGCGCTCCAATGGATGGGGCAGCATGCAGAGCTGCCTGGCTGCGCTTCCGCGTAGGAGCTGGAGAAGGGACATGCTGCTGCCTCCGGGAGCTACTTGAAGTAAGCGCTGCTGGGAGCCTGCACCCCTGAACCTCTCCCCACCCCCTGCCCCAGCCCTGATCCCCCTCCAAACCCCTCGATCCCAGCCCAGAGCATCCTCCTGCACCCCAAACCTCTCATTCCCAGCCCCACCCCAGAGCCTGCACCGCTTCCCATACCCCTGCCCTAGCCCTGATCCCCCTCCTGCCCTCCAAACCCCTCAGTCCCAGCCCAGAGCACCCTCCTACACACCAAACTCCTCATCCCCAGTCCCACCACAGAGCTGACCCCCCCCCTCCCCAGGCGGAGCTCTCACACCCCCGCACACCCCACTCCCCTAGCCCGGAGCCCCCTCCCGCACACTGAACTCCTCATTTCTGGCCACACCCCAGAGCCAGCACCCCCAGCCCGAGCCCAACCCCAATTTTGTGAGCATTCATGGCCTGCCATACAATTTCTATTCCCAGATGTGGCCCGTGGGCCAAAGTTTGCCCATCCCTGATCTAGCAGAACCTCTTGGCTGTTGTGAGGAGGGTGGAATCTTTGATATTTGGTCCTTTCTAGCCTATGTCTATGACTCTTTCAGTGAACAGCTCCAATTGTCTCAGTTGGTCTTCAGAGGTTTCACAAGAATCAGCAAAGTGAAATTGACCTGATGTTTCAGTTTCCCTGCACTGCTCAGAACTGAGTAGCAGCAGTGAAAAATACGTTATAGTGACAAG